TTTAAGAAGTAAAAGACAGATAAACCTATAGTCAAAGACTCAAACCATAACATTTCCAAATAAAGGCTTAACGTTGAGAATATACCCGTAGGCGATTATTTTTGTAAAACAGTAAAAACAAAGCCAGTTTTTAGAACCACCAAACACTGGCAACATGGCAAACTTTGCACAATCTGGCCACTTTCTTGAGAAAGTGATCAAACCAAACACCACCTAAAGTAAAGTTTATATTGCACGAAAATAAGCAGAAAAAAAAATTAGCATATGAAATATCGAGTAAATATTTGCTAAAATAAACTTCATGAAATAGTAACAACAATTAAAAGTTGGAAACGTTTAGGTGCGGATCAGTACCTTAATTTTTCTTCGAAATCGGTCCCAACTCTCTTCGAATCAGATTTTGACACCACGGATCGATTCCTCCAACAAAATTTCTGCGTAAAATATTTCATTAGAAAGTAATAATTAATGATTTTTAAATAAAAAAATTTATTAATATTTTAGTTGAATATTTATTGTATAGTATGATTGAGTTAAGAGGAATAGAGAAGAGGGTAAAATTTTTCTCAATTTAGTTATCAAAATAATTTTAAAATTTGGTTGTTAATTTTTTTTTTTTTTTTTTTTTTTTAATTTATTTATTTATCTAAATAATAAAAAAAAGGGGGGGAGGGAGAGGAGTTGAAGGGAATGAAAGGATAAAATTTTCCTACTCTCCAAACATATGGAAAAGGATCTAAAAAATTAAGAGATTTAACATTAAAAAATTACAAGAGATCCTATCAAAATTATATGATCAATGAAACATAATGTAGACCCCACAAAATTCTATTTATTATGTGGTTATAATTTAATATTTTGACATTTTTAATATTATGGCATATTGATTTTTACTATTTAATTAACAGTTAATTTCAGAAAATCTCAATTAAAATATAATTTTTTTAAAGAGTTTTTTTATCAGCAATGACATTTCGAGGTGTTCTCCAAGAGAAACGTCATTCGAAGCACTTTTCTCTTTATATATATAAATAAATAAATACTTGTATATTTTCATATATTTTGTAATATATTATCATAATTACTAAAAAAAAGAATAAAAATAGTTTTAATACTATTAAATAAATTTATATTATCAATGATCCGTTGATTCAAAAATAAAAAGAACTTGATTCTTTTTAAATAAGCTCTTAAATTCAAATTTTACAAATAAAAAAAAATGCTAAGAGAGTTTTAGTACAAAAAAAAGTTTATATTTTTATTATTAATGTTAACATTTATATTAAATAAATTTTAATTTTTGATTTTTATTTTTAATAATTACAAATTTTATGAAAATTAAAACTAAAAATCAAAAATCACAAATTAAATGAAACCTAAGAAAGTAAGTGATTTGAGGTTGATTTTGCGTCAAAATGTGGTTTTCATATGTTTCACGATGTCTATGTACGGCTATGTAATTGCTGACATGAAATTCTGTTAGAAAAATTAACAAAATTAATGATGATAACGTACCCTGCACGGGATGAGGGAATCCCCACAATACACGAGGAATGGGATCCAAAACATTATAAATGTCTTATTTTGTGTTAAAGATTTGTATTCCATGAGTACAAATATTTCTGATACTCTACCATCTAAGGCAAAAAGATTCTACAGTGACCAAATATGTCCTTAACCATGTTGTCGACAATCAAAGCAACTATTACACTTAATTGAGTCCAGCCACCGACATCCGCATTGTCCTCCTTTACTGGAAGTAAAACTCAATGAAAATTTTAGAAAGAATTTAGACAAAAACCACCAAATTAAAGGAAACAAAACCTCAAAGAGAAAAGGGTATCCATCCACCCTAACCACCGAGGAGAAAAAGGTGGTGAAAAGGACGGAAGAGGAAGTAAGAAAGACTGGAAGGATTCAGATGGGGGAGATGAGGAGGGGGAGGGCAATAGGCCAAACATTTATTTCACTGGTTTAATCATAAACTGAAAAGCAATAATTCGACATGAAATAGTACTAAAATGAAATTACACCAGCTTCTCTTGAGTATAACTCCAACAAGCAAAATCATGTCTATAAACCCAATATGAGAGAATTATAAAAATTGAGAGTTGCGGTCTAATACTCACCAATTAGAAGAAGCATGTAGACTGAAGAAAAAGCTTGCATTAAAAGGCGGAGAGAATCAATTGTTTACTATAAATAGGAATGCAGGAATATATAGAGAGCAAAACACTACTATTAAAAATTCTTTGCCAATTTCCCCGGTAAAGAGGAAAGCATAGAAACATATCTTTATTAATTGTGGGTGTCACAATTTGTGCAAAGGCTGAAGAAAGTGAAAGTGTAAAGAAAGTGTAAGGAACAGATGAATATATACTAAATGCAATGTGAGTAACATAAAAGGCTGCACTATATAACTGGCTAGTACCATGAGTGTTATTCAGGCAAGGGACACAACTGCAGCTTTTGCAAAAAGTAAATCCAGTACATGCAGTGCAGTAAATATAATTTTTCTTGTCACAGATGAATGAAAAAAAGATGAGAAAGAGCATAACATGAATCATCCTTAATCATCAACATACTAGTTCTCTTCGTCTTCAGCCACCTCTTGATCATCTATAGCTTTTTTTCTCTTAAAGAGTTAGGATGTAGAAAACATTAATCTATAGTTGATTTTAAAGTGTTAAATAGTAGATATCAGTTGTCCTATCAGCTATTAGCTAATAGCTACAGTTATCAATTAATCCTAACAATCATAATGAGAACTAGCTATTCCCGTGAGCTAGTACCTAGTCTTATTAGTTGAGCTTCACATTTACTTTAAGTCTGTATTTTATGGGATGAAGTACCCTTATACTTCCTTTATCAATAATAATTATTTTTGAATTAAAAAAAAAAAAGGAAAGAGGAAAAGTGAAAATGAAGAAGTCATTCTAAAAAGAGACTTAGAGTTGCTGTATAATGGGCCCCCTCAAATATAACCATGTACTGGTCGTTTTCGTTTAGGAATCATAATTCCGAGGTTATATACCAAAGTAGCAGGCTTTGAGTGTAATCTGTTAGGTGTGAAGGCTCTCATACAACAGGCTTAGCTCAATCTCCATTACTCAGACCAATTATGAACTAACTAACAACATAGACTACATAAGGAATATTAGGACCATTGGATTACCGTATTGTTCCTCTGGCCTACATAATTGCATCAATTAATGGCACAAAATGCCTAATGAAAGGCAGCTTACCACATACATACTTAATCTCCAAGAATAAAAAAATGCCCTGGTTCTTTAATTACGGTTGAAACTGAATGTAGTAATATGCTCAAGGCTTTGTATGAAGAAGATAAACTTGAAGCCTCTTAATTTTATTTGTACTATGGCTGGCAATATGTACAATGATTCAATTATGTATGTACATTCACTAACACATAAAAGGAAAGATAGACAGAGGAATCAAAGATATACAGACAGAGAAATCAGCTTAAAGGTAATCTGTAAGCGAGATCTTTGTCATTCTATTACTTAATAATTGATGAGTTTAATTTTGATATGCATTTATCTACCATTTTTGAGCTTAGAATTTAATTTTATGGGTCCTTTGTAACTTAGTTTCACCTTGGTTTAGATTAATTTCATTGTTTGTAGGTGAAAATTAAGATAAGAATTACTTTTTCAATAAGTGACAATTTGCATAAGTTGTGGTAATTTAACCATATCTTTTTCTTCAGGCATCAGATTGAGATGATTCTTGAGGCGTTGGAAAGCTAAGAAGCAGAGTTACAATTGTTCTTTAATGAGCTCAACCCAGTTCTATTTGTATCAATACAGGATTTCAGTTAAATTGCATGATTCGGCAGTGGACAAATTGCAGAAAATAAAGAGAATTGGACTGTGTTGTCAAGGTGTGGGCCGACAGCATTTCAGACCCAAACAAAGCCCATGTCTGCTAGAGCTAAATAGGAATAAGGGTTTTTAATTCTTTATATATATATATATAAATGTTAGTGTTTGTGCATCTTACCTTTAAAAAAATTAGGAGGAAAAAT